TATGTGTTAGGACCATTATTATTTACTTTGTACATGCTCCCCTTAGGCAATATTATTAGAACGCACTGCATTAATTTCCATTGTTATGCAGACGACACTCAGTTATATTTATCTATGAAGCCAAATGAAACCAATCAGTTGGTCAAACTCCAGGCATGTCTGAAACTCTAGATGGCATTGCCATTGCCTCCAGTTCTACTGAACCTTTGAGTTATTTTTGACTGGGACATGTCGTTCAATACACATATATAGCAAGTTTGTAGGACGACTTTCTTTCATCTACGTAATATTTTGAAAATCAGGAACATCTTGTCTCAGAGTGATGCTGCAGTTCATGCATTTATAACTTCTAGGAAGGAGGAAGCCGGAGAACCTGGAGAGAACCCACGCTGCATGGGGAGAACATGCAAACTCCATGCAGAAAGATCCCAGGTGTCCTCATCAGGATGCAAACCGGGAACCGAGGCAACAATGCTAACCACTGAGACACCTTGCAGCCCAAAAACAACATGGCTATGAATATATTACAGTTTCAATTTAAGGGTCTTTTAAAAATAATAATGTCTTTGTTTTTGAAAGTGAATATGGGCATGGAGTTCACATACCTCTGCTGATAACAGCAACCCTAAAGTCCTTGGAAACAGAAATGGGATGGTGTCTGGTCTTTCACTTATCAAGTCCAACACCTTTGTTTCATTTAGCCCCTTCCTTATGTTTTTTTTTTTTTTTTTTTTTAATTTTCACAAGAATAAAGTTTTGTGTGTCATATTTTACCTTGCAGAACATGGAATTTGCTGGTCTACTACTTTGTGACTGCCATTTAAACATGTTAGTTTGGACCCAAACAAACTATTTTAAACACCAAACTCAAAAAATAACACAAACTAATTAATCACTCTAGCAGTGGTAGACCAGCAACTCTCATGTGCAGCAAAGAAAAATGACCCATTTGGTCAAAGGCGTCTGGTGGCTCTGAAGAAGGCAATATCACAGAATTAGGTTCCAAGCAAATTCGGCAATTGGACAGCAAGGTAAGTAGTGAAAATAAAAATAAATAAAAACATACTTAAATTCAAACTGATTTTTTAAGCTGACTTTTGCCATTTTAGCCTTTTTAGGTGGCTTCTGTATGTTTTGCTGTTTCCCCCAGCCACAGCAGTACATTACTTAGCTTATGTGCCAATTAGTAAGGGCATTTTATGAGATTTTTCACAAACCTGGCAACTAAATCGTTACCAAACAACTTCTTCACCAATATGTTTGTAAAGGTGTGTAATATCATGCCTTAAAATGTTGAAGTTCAACTCTCGTGGGAAACCCTGAAAAAAACCTGCTCAAGTTAGGGTACCGATAAATGACTGATGAAAAATCGATTTTACAATTTCTATGTGATGAATATTTTAAAAAACAATATTAGCAGACCTGGTGAAACTGAAAGATGAAGTTAAAACACTGTCTGAATCAGTGCAGTGTTTGTAAAAATGACATTTCTTCTAAACTGTTAAAAAACATGAAATCAGTTGTTGGTAAATGTCTGAACTAATCATTAACAAATGAAATATGTGACTTTTTCTTGTTTTTATGTCCATTATGTAGGATTTCTCATCTTTTTGTCTCTTACACAGCTCTATGTGGGAAACCTGTTTAACCACAGATGCTACATGATTCA